ACTTAAGAAAAAACGGCTTCCTACTGCAGTTGTAATTTTAATTCTATGATTTTTAACCTTGTCACATGAACCGTTTTTAGATAATTTGTATAAAAAAGTCCTGAGCATGTCCCAACTAAACAAGCTTGGCGCAGTATGTCCAAAGTAGCTTTGCGCCATAAAGCCCGTAATGAACAACAACCCAAGTTTTGACGCCACGCCAGTGGTGCGCTGGAAGTTCCGTGGCAGCCACTTTCGTAAGGCACGACACGAGCCACGTGAGGAAGCTCGCTGCTCGCAGCAGGAGAAGGCTGCTTGCGCGCGCGCGCCTTGCGCATGCGTCCGTGGAGCATGACGGCAGCATCACGCTCCCTACTAACATGTGCAGATTTTGTTTTTTAGTATGAACTTTCTTATGCATTTTTCAACACTCTGTTTGACAGGAGCCTCGTGCTCAAGGTCCTTTAGAGGACATTTGCGTGCTTCTGATAACTGACGTCCATCAAGCTGCACAGGTCTTCCGCGCACAAATGAACTGCTTTGACTTGTATTTCACGCTTCTGGCACCTGGGGTGATCATGTAATAGGCGCGCTGAACGAGATCTTGGTTGAAAAAAAACCCCGAGACTGCGGGTAGACGACACAACACTAAAACGTCTTTTAACTTAAGACTTTTTAGTTAGTTTACTTAAGACTTCTTAGTGTTGTGTCGTTTACACCGCAGTCTCGGGTTTTTTTTTCAACCATGTGCAATGTACACCAGTTCGTTTGCGCCCTTACTTTTTTTTCATTAATCCTGGTTACCTGCAAAACGTGGCTTGTCTATAGGGACTTTTAGCAAACCGTCTCCATGTTCCGGGTACCGCACTACCGGAGCCTTCGAAGCGTTCTTCTAAGCGCGTGCCCGGGTTAAACCCTACAGTAAAGGGGCCATGAAGCGAATTTCGGGCTTTGATAAAAAGTTTTACATTGGAACTTTACTAATCGCATATCGTTTAGTTAGCCAAAAGGAAGAGGGTGGAAAGTTATAAGCCAGCTTTTCGGTACGAACATTTGAAAACATAGCGGACCATTTTGTACTTTCTTTCCTTCGTAAGCTCTCCGCCTTTTCACTATGATACATCCGCAGTTCCCAAAGCGCGCTAGCGGTGCCAACCTGACGTCAGCCGAGCCCAGCTCACGCATTGGACACGAGAACTGCGTCACTCGGACGTATGCGCTCGTCAACAATCAATCCGTCGACGAATATTCGGATTCGCGTTCGTGACCCAATGAGTGCCCTGACGGAACTTATCGTCACTGGGGAATGACAAGTTCTATGGTGTGCATAAAAAGCACGGTGGAAGCTAGGAGTCATCGCACCGGAGCCGAAGAATGTCACGACGACGTGATTCCACAATTCGCATTTGAGTTGAGGATTAAAGCTAAGGAGGAAGAAGTAGGAGAGTCGTTTCATGACCCCTTTAAATATATCCTTAAAAGTAAATTGAGAGTTTTCAGGGACGGCTATAAGTCAAATTTGGGGGTTTTACGTGCCAAACCTACGACGGGCATCTGGCACGCCCCGGCGGAGGACTGAGGATTAATTTCGACCACCTGGGGATCTTTTGACGTGCAACCGAAAGCTCGGTTACACGGCGCCTTTTCCGCAATAAGCCTCCGTCATATTGCGGGCACCTCGGTCGGGATTCGAACCCGCCACCTGGGGATCCGTAGGCCGGCGCTCTCGCCTCGGAGCCACCGAGGCGGCTAGGGACGGATTTAAATTATACTTGAAACGAACTGGTTCGTTAGAGGCACCTATTCATATTTAAAAGCATGCCTCAAAGGCTCCGCTACTGCGGTACGGGGAACACGGTAACGGTTTGCTAAAAGTTCCGAATGATAAAGTTACTGCATTTCGTTAAAATGTTTGGTGAACGCAGGCGTTGATGGACCTGCTTTTTTGGCGTTTCTAGCTCCACACACGAGACACAAGAACTAGGGGGGACGCAGGGCGAGCGCTGTGGAAGCCGATATATCAAAGTCTGTTGAGTAATTGATTTCACTTAGGCGTGAGATGCCGCCCTAGTCCCCTCTGGTTAATGTCGCGCAGTTTCTGCTATACTGTTCACACCAAAAATCACAACGCGTATTAAAAAAAAAGAAAAAAGAACGGCGCAAGTTACATTTGGGTTACTAGTTGTTTGCAGCGCAGGCGAAGGCAACGCCAGGCGAAGAGAGAAAGGGCGATCACTAGGAAAGCAGGACAGGAGAGGAGGGCGAGGGGAGAAAGGGGGAGTACTAGGAACGTTAGAGAGGAGAGGAGGTTTCTCTTCTCGTCTCCAGCCTTCCTGGTGCTTGCCATTTCTCCCCTCGCCTGGCGTTGCCTTCGCCTGTACTGCACGCAACTAGTGACACGGACTATAGAAGGGAGCATGACACTGCGGTCACGCTACACGGACTCGCGCGCAAGCGGCTTGTTCCTGCTGGGAACGGTGAGCTTGCTCGCGTGGCTCGCGCCGAGCGAACCAAAGTGGCGATGATGGAAGGCTTCCACCGACGCACCACCGACCACCACCGGCGCACCACCGACGCAGCGTCAAAGCTTGGGTTGTGCTGTTCAAGGGTCAAACACATCCGAGTAAGACGCACACCCTCGCAGCGCCCTACTCTCTCTCTCTCTCTCTCCCCCCCCTCCCCCCCCCCCCCCCCCCCCCCCGCACTTTTACCAGTTTCCAGGGGCCCCAGAAGGCGCAGCTTGTATCGACGGCCACGCGCTCGGCTGTTCGCATTTCATTCGAACCGGATGCGGGCTGCCTATCAACGGTTGCGAACGATAAGTTCGATAGTGCGTGTGAAAAACACGATGAAAGCCTTGAGTCATCTGTTTTTAAAGCAACACCGTCAGACTCGACAGTCTGAGACAGTCGAATCAATCCCCACCCCTGCCCAGTTCGATTCGAATAAGCATTGTGCAGGCGTGAAGTCATGGATCACTATTGGCGACGTGCGCGACCGAAAGCGTCGCTGTGGTCGGCCTTCCACGATTGGCCCAAAAGCTGACTGTGACGTCGGAAAGGGTATACCATCGACGGAAATA